CAGGTAAGCGACACTAACAGGACGCATGGAGGTTTTCACCTCTGTACACCGGTAGACAACTTTGAGACATTTGGCTTCTAAAAAGCAAAGATAAGCTTGTGATTTTTTAAGGCAAATTTTTAAAAAAATAGAAAATGTAACTGAATATGATACTGACTTCTGATCAACTAAATTTGACTACATTTCCGTTTCCATTTTCAGCCACTTGATAGAAAGCAGTGCACAACAATTACACACTGCCCTTATGAATTAGGCCTTTCTTAACGAAACAGTTAATTAAAAAGGCAGAGATTTAGAAAGGGTATCCTTGTTTTGCGATGTAAACAAGCTTATTATCAATAACTGTAATATTTTTGAACCTTTAAAGTTTACAGTGTTAAAAATAACTTCAGGTCAAAACAGACCCCCAATGCCAGCAGCTTGTACTCGTCTTTATCTGATGCCCGTGTTCTTGCTACCACAGGGAATAGCTAATGTGGTCATTTCACTTTCCAAACGTCAATGTGCCTGTGGCTTGGTCCACAATAAAAATAAGAAGACCCCACAATGTCAGTGGCAATTAGGTCAATTGAAGGATGGTCTCCAAGGCTGTTACAAGTTGTTGCAATGAGACACCAAAAGCTAATACAGTGGAGCACCTTCAATTCCAGGAGAGTTAACCAGGAAACAGGTGATTCATTTTGTGTAATAACACCCGCACTTTAAGCTAAGACACAGATATATTGATATTAGTAAATATCTGGGCAACTAAAATCCTGTTTTCGCAGAAATGACAGCATCTGTGTGTGAAATTGATGTGTTTCTTTCAGGAAATCGATAACTGGTGCGTTAGCATACCAGAGGAAGCCATGAGACAAGCAGGAGGGCAGACCTCAGGATCCTTTACGGTTGCTGTTGTTGCGTATAAGAACATATCTCAGTTCAGGGTAAGCAAGAGAAGACATGTTTAATGCTGACTGAAGTTGACAAGGCCTTGGTAGACTGATGATCATCCCTACCCTGAGCCTCTTCCATCAAGCACCTTGAACATCTCTGGATGTTACAGGCTGACGCACAATGAGTCCAAGGTTTACATCAATGGCTCATTAGGAGCATACAGTACATAATGCTATTTACACATTTAAGTAGTAAACAGACAGGTTGGTGAATGAAGTGGTATTTCTCCTGGAGATAACACAACGCTGGGCATAATTCATGTGGTTTCACAAAAACGGCAGGTGAAAGCTGAGGTCAAAGTGACAAAATAAGCTGGTTACAAATCTGAATAATTAGCAGTCGAAATGGGCGGTCTTCTGATGTGAACACGAGAACAGCCAAAGACGTTGCGATGCCCTGTGTGAGTCAGGAGGATGGGCTGGTGGCTGCTGGCATGATTGAAGATGACCCGGAGATGGAGATGTTCTGCAGGCAGAACACCGCCTTTGTGAGAGGAATTCTCTTATATTGGCTCTGCTCCACCTCAGGTGTTCAGTGCCGTACGGCGGAGGCAGGGTTGAAATTCCTGACTTCAGCACCACCACATGTTAGCGAGACGTCCGTCTCGGTGTTCCTTCTCACCCTGCGTTCGTTCGACAGGACGAGCAGAACAGAACGCTCTTCGAGAACCTCGTCATCGGGGTGGTCCTGGGGAACTCCACTATCTCCAATCTCACAAACACAGTCAACATCACCTTTTCTCACAAGGCAGGAACAAAGGTACTGTCCATTCTGTTCTACCACAATCAAAGCCACGTCATAAGACTGTATGCTTGTGAGAATGCATTTGTAGTGTGTATATGGTCATGTGTTGTGGACGTGAATGTTAACGAGGTCTTCGCCCAGCTGCAATGTTGCAGGAGACTTAAGTGTCTCACTGACTTCTCATTCTACTTTTTGATTTATATGAAGTCAAAGTTAGCAGTCATGGGCAGTTGTTACAAACAGCTAGTTTCCACTGTTGCAATAAAGGTCTATTCAAAGACCTGATCCTTTTCCAGCTCTGAAACTTATTGAAAAAGTAACCCTCCCCCCTTAATCTAGGTGGGTTTCTTAAATGTTCCCAGTTGTTTTCCAAATGCCATTTCATATACGTATCATATTTACAGTAATTTTAGCTGCTGTTTTTTCTAAGTGCGATAGGCCAATGCCCTTTTTGGCTTTTTTTGTTCTCTTGGGAAGCTGGTGGCATTGAGCTCCTTCATTGTCAGTGGTGAGAGACCCTGAGAAAGTATAACCCTGCAGAGCCACAAGGCGCTATGAGCTGGTAATCTGAGCTACAGGAGACCTGTCGATTTTCCTCAATTTCCCTTACCCATCTAAACCTTCTCTTTCAGGGGAACAGAACATGCTCTTTTTGGGTTCCCATGGAAAACGGTAAATATAAAAAAATAGAATGTCCCTTCTTTTCCTGAAACTGACTGTTTTTTTCTTCCTAGTCCAGTCCACCCTACTTTCTTTCTTCAATATGAACTAAACTTTTCTGCCCAGTGACTTCCTCAGTCAGAAGGAACATCTGAATGAATATACAGCAGCTGAGCTGGTTATATCCTGATTTGAAATCTCCCATATCCCATGATGGAAGAAAAGTGTATGAATTTGAATTTCTTAGGAACAACTAATGAGATTACGTATTGAGATTATGTAATGAGATGTGTATATAGCATACTGTATATGGCATAGTAGGTACTATGTACAGTATATACACAATATATATAATATATAGTTAATATTAAGGGGCATGATCTCCATATACAGGATATACTACAAATGTTTGATTTCTGCACATAATGATTGAATATCACAAAAGAGCTTCAACGTTTGAACCACAAACCACTTTTGTTTCTCCTGTCTTGGAGATGTTTACTCTCCAGTTACACTTCAGGAGTTGTAAAAATGTAATAATATCCCAGTCTCTAATAATCCATAGTGCTGAAGTTGGGTTTAAAATCCCAGTGTTCTGTGTTTGAGATGAAAAAAAGTCCAGAGACCCCTACAATTCTGGGGCAAAGGACAATAATAGCGACTTCCCCACTCGACAGCCATGGGTTTGCATAATCTGGCCTTCCTAAAGTCTCCCCTAATGAAACTGGTGGCACGATTCGATGTGCGCTGTGGAGGGTGGAGCAGATGTCCCGCTGTCATGTCTCCCCTGTGCTGCCAGGCAGAGGTCAGTGGAACACGTCGGGGTGCGTGACGATCTCAGGCGACAACCAGACTGTGTGTCAGTGCCAGCACCTCACCTTCTTTGCCCTGCTGCTGGTGAGAACATCCGCCCCGTCTGGCCTCACTGCAAAACTGGGAATATATGATTATGATACAAAAACATAGTCTGCTCTATTTTCAGTCATTTTCAGATTTGTTTTTCATTTTAGTTGCCTTCATTTTAACTTTGCTTTTTAAATTTATCATGAAAATACATAATTTGTCTTTTTACTAAGTGTATTCACCCTGTGCTCTGCCTCCTCAGACAGTCAGTGTTTAGTTAAAATTGTTTGCAGGAGAGGTAAGGGTAGCTCAGCTGGAGAGAGTCTGTTCAAATTAGGGGGATATTAAAACGTTGTCCAATAATGATATGATACCAGATTTGGAAAATGTAGCTTTCATAAGAGTACATTGGTTAAAGTAAGTATCAGTTTAGCCAAAGGTTTAATGCTTAATGTATGTGTTAATTCCTCTATATCCAAGGGTGATTTCAAAACCTGTTTTTTTTTGCATTATTATTTTTCCCAGCAAGTTCCTGGGACAAGCAGTGTGCTGAACCAGGTGGCACTGGTGGCCTTGACCTACATTTCCCTCATCGGCTGCGGAGTGTCAGCTGTGTTCTCAGTCCTCAGCATTACCATCTACTTTGTCTACAAGTCAGTGTGGAACAGTTCTTTGATTACTTTTTAGAACACAGGAAAGGTTACAAATGAGGAGACCATCTGGCCCGTCCAGCTTGTGTGGCAGTTAGTAGCTAATTGATCCAAGGCTCTCATCCAACCATTTCTTGAAAGAAGACAGGGTATCAGCTTCAACAACATGGCTGGAAAACTTGTTCCACTCTCCTGCAACCCTTTGTGTATAGAAGGGCCTCCTTTTCTTAGATTCAAATGTACTTCTGCTTAGTATCCGCTTTTGTACTCTAGTTTACGTTTCGCTGCCCATTCTGAAGACACCTGCTGGCTTGACTTCATCAGTGCCCCTGAGGATTTTGATTACATGTATATGGACCCCTTATAATCTCTCCAAAGGTTCAAAAGCTCAAAAGGCTTTGTAGTCTCTGCCGGTTTCTTCTATTTTATATTTCTTCTGAATTGGCTGGCTGGCGACAGCAGAAGAGAAGGTGTGGTCAAGTGAAAGGCAGTTCTATCTTGACAGAAGCACAATGTACCCATTTCTGCTGGCAATGTAACCTGGGACAGTACCAGGGCTGTTATCTTACCCTGTTGCTCCAGAGGGTGACCAGAAAAACAGCTGTATTGGGCCTGTGTGATGAACCTGCACAGGTGTGTTTATACTGTGGCAGGACTCAGCCTGGTTGCGTTTCCCTGTCCCGTTCACACTGCAGGCAAGCCCGCAGAGACCAGACGGGCACCATCCACGTGTGCCTGAGCGCCTCCCTGCTCCTGCTCTACCTGCTGTTCCTGGTGAACGAGAAGCTGGCGTCCCTGGGCAGCGGCGCCCTGTGTGCCCTCGCCGGGGGGGTCATGCACTACGCCCTGCTCAGCAGCCTCAACTGGATGGCCATCGAGACGCTGCACCTCTACCTGCTCGTCGTCCGCGTCTTCAACTCCTACTTCCGCCGCTACGTGCTGAAGCTCTGTCTCTTCGGGTGGGGTGAGGCCCCGGCTGCAGGCAGGCTGCGCTTGCGGCCAGACGCCGTCTTGAGTTTTGTCCCAGCTGGCCTGTGGAAATAACCTGCGTCTGGTACACGTAGTGGACGGGTGGCTGGAGTTCATTCAGCAGCAGAAGTTCCAAGCTGCTGCCTCCATACGCTGGCACTAACGCAGAATCATTGCTGTTAGCTACATTGGGTTATATAGCTGGCGCTAGTAGCGTGGAGTGTATAGCTCACATGTAAGCAAGTCAGTCCTCAGTCAGGCATTGTAGTAGAAAAGTACCCATCCACAGTCCCCAAGAGCTCTTTTTTTCAGTCTGTGACCTTCCCTCTCCCCTCTCTTTCACTCTGTTTTTTCCCCACCGTGTCTTCTCCTTTCTGTCTTGCAGCCTCTCCTGTGACTTTTCTCTCTGACCGCTCTCTCCCCCGAGCTAGGGTCACCGCTGCTGGTGGTAACCATCGTCGGCTCCTTGAACCAGTATGGGCGGCTTGAAGTCAAGACCGCAGGCAATCAAACCTATGGACACTTGTGAGTACTTGTCCAGTACTGAAAGGCTTCATTCACACAGCAGCCAGTTCTGACTTGGGCCACGGTGTCCTGTTAAAAACAGAAGACAGGACAGCACCAGGACGGAATTGAAGGTCACAGGACATGATTGCAGTGTTTGTGGACTAGAGAATTGACTGCCTGTCAATTGCATTTCTAAAATAGTCTTGATATTGATATACATGTGTCTGGGTCCTTGGGATTCTTGCATACCATAGGCTGCTGAGGTCAAGCACTGAATGTTGTGAAATGTGAAACTGATTAAATTATGGCCCCACCTACACAGCACAGTCTGACTGAGAAACGTAATGATGCATTTCGATCACTTTACTACATTGAATTGAAGCTAGAATTAATTGAGCAGCTTTGGCATAGACTTCCAAGCCCTGTGACATGGAAAACGTGAAAGAAACCTGGAGAGTACTGGTGTTTTTATGTGGGGATACTTCTTCTAATAAGGTTGGGCTCTCCCCAACAGGAGAATAATCCTACCAGTTAAGATCGCCACTTCACATACCGGTGTCTCTCCCTCCTGTCACCTCCCAGTTGCTGGCTGAAGACGGAGGAGCTGCGAGGGGTTTATCTGCTAAACCTGGCCTACCTGGCCCTGCTCTTCCTCTGCTCCCTGGCGGTGCTGACTGCGGTCGCACACAGGGTCTGGGCCATGCGCTGCTCCCAGCCCTCGGGAGGCAGTGGGAGGCATGGCTGCAGGGACACTTGCACTGTGCTGGGCCTCAGCCTGCTGCTGGGCAGCTCCTGGGGCTTCACCTTCATGGGCTACGGCCCCGTGGCTCTGCCTGGGCTCATCTGCTTCTCTGTGGTCAACTCCCTGCAGGGTGAGTCCTGTGGCTCCCTACGAAAAATGTGTTCCCGCCGGCAGCTACACTGGCATGTGACTGTCCTGCCTTAGAACATTTTGAAGACAAAAGGCTGAAGTTGCCCTGGTACCAAAAGAAATATTAAAAATTGAAGATGAAACCCTGCAAATATATTGTTACTTCATTGCTGTGTGACATTGTAACAACACAGTAGTATTTTCATATTCATTCATAAGGATTAAGTAACATATAAAGTCCACAGCCTGAAAACATGATCTATTCAGCTTGTTCAATTCAAGAGTTATCTTATCCCATATGCAAGCTGCTCAGAGCAGTTAAATACTCCTCCTGTCAGCAGCCCTCTCTGCCTGTCGTCTTCCAGGTATTTTTCAATTAGCAGCTCTGTGCCACCTAAAAGAGCATAGTGACAGGGCAGTTAGCTCCACTGCCTCAAAGCACCTGGGTCCTGGCTTTGATTATGACCTGTCTGGAGCTTGGTGATGTCTGTATGGAGTTTGCATGTTCCTCCAGACATGCTGCCCAGTTGACTGCTACCTCTAAACTGCCTTCAGGATGCTTTTCTGTGGGTACTGTATGCCCTTGCAATGGCCCAATATTGTCCCGCCCTGTGCCTGCCAAGTTAAGGTTCAGCTCACTGAAATCCTGGCAGGTGGATGAAATGAATGATGCAAATACAATTATTATTTCCCTCTCTCTCACACCCAAAGAAGGCTCCAAAGCCAAAACATTCTCTTTCTTTTCTTCTCTTTCTCCTTTACTTGTTCCTTTATAACTTACACATGCTGACACAGCTCCCTACTTGAACTAATCCAAATAATTATTACTGATTAAGAAATTGAGCTGGTGGAAGAGAGCAAAGGAGTTTGCATCATTCTAGTGCTCGTTAAATGTTTTGACTGTCAGCCACCTGTATTCAGGTAAATATATTACAACTGATGACGTCTGTTTTTTTTTCAGGATTCTTCATTTTCCTGCTTTTCTCCCTCACAATCCTAAAGGCGAGAAAAGAATTGGCTTCCGAGATGGTCCTATGCTCCAGCGAACATCCAGCGACATCCCAGGACAGAGCAGGCAGGGTGTGAGGGGAGAGAGGGTTCTGGGAACAGAAAAGAACATAAAGGCACACAAATGCTGCCTCATATTTTACAGCGCTGTACTTCCACCACACTGTGACATCACACCAAATTCTGAACTACGGAAATAGGAATCATTTCCTCTTCAGCCTGGGGAAGCAGCAGCACATAATCCCGTTTCCCCGGGCGTACCGTCTTTCCTGAAACTTCTCATTTTGGAATAAAGATTCTGAGTTTTTGGATAACTTTATCTTGTGTATTTTTCTGTTTCTGGGTTTCTGTTTTACATTTGTCCGTTGCTGTAGACGGACTGCTGATGTGGAATATAGTTTATGTGCATGTGATTTGTGTAAAGTAGAGGCATGTTGATAATGACAACCTCTTGCTCAGAAACGTTTGCTTTTTTCTGTGCAGTTCCCTTCCACACTCTTTGGTTTTCCCCTGAATATTATCATCGTCTTACATAAATGCATTAGAGATGCTGATAAACATTTTTTGCAGCTGTGTGTGAGTCCTTGAATGCATCCATCTGCTGTATATTTTATCATCTTTGAATGTCTCATTTATATAATAATAATAATTTGGTCATGCTCTGTTCCTATTTTTTGGCATGTACTTTTTTGAGAGAATTGCCTCTCAATGTAAAGTGTAAGTAAGTGTTCAAATTTACAGATGCAAAAATGGTACATGATTATTGGAGCAGGAAATACAGTAGCACATGCAATGGAAATTTGCTGCAAAGATGGCTTTGTTGAAGAAAGCCTGTAACAGTGAACTTGTCTGACAGATTGCAACGTAACCTTTACATAATCTCTGCAAGCCTACTCTTGCCTACCACAGCTTATTGTTGTAACACACAAAAGCAGGGTACGCCAGCCACTTGAATGACTTGATATGTTCTGAAAACCTTTCTCTTCGCAGGAGATCGGAGGAGAAGGTAAAGTCACTAATTGTTTTCTCCCTGTTTCTCAGATAGCGGAATGATGGCCTTGGGGACAGTACACTGGCCGTGCTGGCCTGGAGAAAACACACTGAAGAAAGAGTCTCATTTTTTAGTACAGGGAGGAGCAGCTATGAGAGTCACTGAAGCCCTTTCAGTTCCTTACACAATTTCTGTTGTCACTGGAAATGTACGCTGCTATTATGTTGGACCAACGGTGCACATGACTGGAAAAGCACACTTCTTTCACGGAATTAAATACTTTACATCACTAGTCCATACTCTGGTAGATGGCATAATATCACTCACTGCACAACAACATCTTAACACAAAGTGCTAAAAAAGATTTTGACACTTGCGATTTTCAACCGAAATATGTATTTACATTTGAATATCCAAATATGTCAGTTTGAAAAATGAAGATCTGTAACCTCTGAGTTTTTTATAGCAATTTATAATTTCGATATCAAGTATTCACAATGCCGTTTAGGTTACTGAACTAATCTAGTACATTTTCATTAAAACTTTCTTTTTAACAAATCTGTATTTTTGTGTTTTTGCTGCTTTTAAAATTGCTTAAAATTTGGGGGGGGTTTTACACTTAAAAGGGGAACGACGAAGCACCTTACTTGTAATCAGCCTCATTTTTGTATGTATCATAATGTTTTTCGTTCTCCTTTATTCTTACGAAACAAAACACTCGCCTCTTGCCCTACGTAGGTCAGGCACCACGGTGACGACATCCAGTGGAACTTCCTCACCTTTGTGACAGCCCCATCCCGTCGCCATGGTGATGGAATATTTAAGCCCACCTGCAGAAATAGCGTCTTGTCTTCTCTCTCTCCCAGGTACACTGACCATGTTCCTGCTACCAGGGCGTGTCATAGTCTCCATCCAGTGCTCCGTGCAGCCTGCATTACTGCAATGAAAACCCATCGCACAGGTACAGCACACAAGAATTTCTGACTCCAACCAAGAAAAAGTGTTTAAAATTAATTTTACCAAGGGTGAAATGCTCGCTGTGATTTCTCCTACTCATCAAGTTTAATAACATTGGGAATTAAAACAAAAGAGAAGAGGTATGTTGTTTTTTTTCGTACAATTAAAACCTATGTGCCTATACGAGCAACTGGATAAACGCCCATTTAAAAATTACGCGTGGTGTGCTGGGACAATGAGGAGGCTGGGCGGACGTGGTCTGGGCGTGGCTTTCGCGGGAGCTCACTCGAGGGGGCGGGGCCCCGGCACGCAGGGGGCGGGGCCCAGTAGACGCTCAGACAATGTGACCCATCAGCTGCTTCGGTGTGTCAATTCCGAGGGTCTGGCAGCATCTGCTTGCGCCGGATATTAGGAACCGCTACTTCTGCAATTGTGTGCTGCAGCAGAAGGCGCCATGCGTTAACCACCAGAGAGAATCCCCCAACCACAGCCAAGTAAGTTGTGTTTACGGTCGTTGTTTTTTACATGTGATGTTAAAGGGTGATGCGCCTCGGAACGCTTTGATCGCTGCATCCGGACGGAATTTAGCACGCTGGTGTAATCGGCACATGTTGCTTTTGTTCTCGCTGTGTCTTACATGATGAGTGGGTTTTTGCACTTGGCGATCCCTGCTCGGTTTAAGCTGGGAAGCAGCCGGCGAATCCATAGCAGCGCTGCTGTGTACAGAGCCTGAGACAGGCCTGGGGGGTGGCGGCGAGGTCGTATAACGAAACAAGGTCTGACTCGTCCCTGGAACAGGCAAGCTCGGGAGTGAGTGGGCATGCGATGGCAGTGCATACGTGCCGACCCGTGTCGATAATCCGGCGGCGAAAACCACCTTCTCCAGCAGCGTGAGAGCTAGGCAGCGCCTTTACTGGCACTGCGGCCAGCCAGACGTGGGTCCCCGGCGGTCCTACGGATACAGAAACACAATTGCGGGCTCGACTGTCCGACGATCTTCTCTGGCTGCGGTCCGGCTGACCCGCCTGTCCCGGTACCGATCGGGATAACGGGACACCGACCCCACAGGCTCGCGGTTTCGAGGCCGGTGCGTTTCGAGGATGACAGATAATAGGGATGCTTTTCAGTTCCTGCCATTTGTGTGTGTGTGTGGGGGGGTTTAAAGAAAATTTGGAATTAGCATCATATAGTGGTGAAGTGTTATGCTCTATATATACAGTATGGGTGAAGGCAAAAAATGCGCTTCCATCTGCTCCCTCTGCGGAGCTCCAACAGCGGGGTGAATTGTCAGCGAATTCGCCTGAAAAGCGAAAGACCACCGAAGAGAGAGCTACCAGAAGGGTTTCTTGTTTTTTAAGCTTTATGTTCTTCTGAAGTGTCCCGTAGGAGCTGTGAGACTTGAGGTGTGGACACAAGCATTGTCTTTTCTCGAAAGGTAGCTAGGACTCTGATGAACACTTTTGAACTATTACAGAAGAGCTCACACAACTGTATACCAGAGCTTGTGTGAATAAAGAGCACAACGGAGCTGTCATTTCAGTGAACTGCGTTGGAGGTTAGCATGGCCCAGACTCCAGGCCTGTTACTGAGGAAGCACAGGCGTGGAGCTAGCTGTGGTCGCACAACGTCTGTTAACACACAACCTAGCCCGTCGTAATACAGCAAGAGTGATCCAGCAGGTGGATTTTCCGCTGCTGTTAGCCTTGCAGGAAGGGTCTCCTTCTGATACAGAATCAAGAGACAGGAGTCTGAGGTGGATGAATGGGTAGAGCTGGCACTGAGGTCTGAGGCTCACTTTGGAAGAAACCAAAAGCAGAGAAAAGCAATGAGAAAAACCAGAGGGGCTTTTCTCCTCCTGGGACGAATCTGCACCAACTTTGTCTGAACAGGTGGAGCTCGTCAAAACAGAAGATAAAAAACTCTTCCCTGCCCAATCTAACCCTTTTCACTGATTCTCCCAGAAGAAAGGGGAAATCGTTTTCAGTTTTCAGTTTAGCACAGTACACAGTACATGCTCCACTGATTGTTGCTGGGTGTGTCAGCACAAGCCCTAGTGCCATCCCAGGCAGCTGCAGCCTCAGGAGATTCTGCGGTCCGTTCAGATGGAGTGGGTGTGAATCCGGGTTTGGTGGCAGCTGACTCGGCACACACCCCAGGACACGGAGACGCTGTTTCTTCTTGAACTTTACTCCGGTCTTGTTCATGTCTCTGGCGCGGCTTCCCTTTGGAAATGGCAGGAAGTGGGATCTTCCAGCTGTGTCCGGTCTGATTATCACATCTGTCTCGACAGAGAGCAGTGACAGCTGACTCCAGACCAGGCTTCCAGACAGAAGAGCAAAGGGAGTTTAACCCCCTGGGCTCTAGCAAATGGGAAAAAGCTCCCATGTTAAGCATGCTCCCAACGAAGTTTGGAAATTAATGTCTCTGCAAGCCATTCCTTTTTTTTCCTTTTTAAATATGCATCATTCCTGCATGTTTTTCCCCAAGTCCCAGGGTTTGGAACCTGCTCGGTTAATGAAGTTGTTCTTCGGAGTCATCGTTGGAGGTTGAAACCTGGTCTCTTGAATTGCAGTACCTGCTAGGCGTGGCTGTAGTTATACACTTTGAGCTGTGTCTCTCGCACTACTATCATTACTGCAGCCCTTCTAGCAACAAAGGAGAGGTCTGGCTTGTACAGTATGTGCACAATCTAAGAAGCCTGCAATGACATCACCTGCCTCTCCCCCCCCTGCAAGCCCTCGATGACCCAGAGGGCAGATTTAGTCACTGGGCAGCAGACTGGGACAGAAGTAGGCAATATTAGGTGGCACGCCAAAGCAGTTGTGTGTTCTTCTTGTGCCCAAAGATATGCTGGTTACATCAAATAGGGGCTCTAAGATTGTCTGTGTAGGTGTGTGACCTGTGATGGACCGTAGTCCCACACAGGGTCTAGTTCTGCCCAGTGTCCTGTACTACTGGGACAGGATCCAGAAGGAATAAGTGGCTCTCTGATGATGGATGACTATCATGAAGCCAGAACTATTCCTGTTGTAATAGGTAAGGTATGCACAATGTTAGGACCAGTAACTCTACACATTTTTCTATGTATTATAAAACATTAAAAACGTATTAATTGCATGGTGTTGTAAAGCATTTTGCGTTTATTAAAAACCCAGATAAGGTATATCTTTGTATTTTGTGTTTGCTTAACAAGAGGAAACGTACGTTATCCAAACCACAGTTTTGTTCACATGCGGTAAAAATAATTTGCCATCATGTGACTGTCACAGTCTTTTTTTTTCTCCTGATAATGAGGTTCTTGCTTTCAAGAACTGGAGAGCTCTTCTCACATGGAGCTGAGACCACTGGGAATGAGCCTCAGTTCTGAATAATGGGTTCTGGTTCCAGTCCGGCGCTCCTTCCTCTGTGCTAGACTTCCTGTTTAATGCCCTAGGCCCTGATCTGAGTGCTGTGCATTTTTTTGGTATTGCAGTGAAAGGAACAAAAGGAATTGTTTTTTTTAATGATCATTTTAGCTGTCATCCTTGCAGGATTATTCTTCTGTGTTTTATTCCGTGTTTGAGTTTTGCATTTTAGGTCATGATTTAGACTTTTTTTCTTCTGGTGTAAATGTATTATCTTGCTCTTCATCTACTGTATGTGCATCATTTTAGTGTTTTGTACTGTATTTCTTGTTTCACTAACTTATAAAGTAACCCTCTTACTACTAAATTACTGTACACATTGCACTATGTAACTTTTTGATGGAAAAAAATGTGCTTTTGCTTTGATAAAAGGCATGAATAAATTAGATTTATAACATTACTAAAAATTACAAGGTAACAACATATTACCCAAGTGAAAATGGAGGTGACCTGCGTGTTCCTTGATTTTTAAGAGAAAATTGACAGTTTCACTACACGATGGGAGATCTTTACTGTTCCTGTAAAAGGTGCTGCTTGTCAATATGATCATAGGAGTTTGGGTAAATAATACAGAGTATTTCTGTAAGAAGCTAAAAGCATGATTTGCGTGCGAGTGAGTCATTCTGCACTTATTCTGGGAACTGTGTTGCCCTGCCAATTCACTACAATAGGCATGATTTTAAATTGTTTAAATTGGCTTGCCTTTTCTACTTCAAGCTCCTTAGATGAAGAATAGGTTGTATAGTGCTGTACGCTGGGTTTGAACACAAGAGGTGATGACTGTGCAAAGTGGCAGATTGACGCTCTCAGCAGGACCTGCAGAATTGGGCTCTAACAGCTGTCCCATCGACAGCACCTCCACACAGAAGCGCAGGCACAGCAGCTCCTTTCACATGCTCTCTTTAACTGCGCAGACGTCAAAGCAGGAGCACGGGAGATCCCTGCAGGTCCAGTTAAAAGAACCTGGGAATAACTCCTTGTGCTGCAGAATGAATTGATTCTGTTGCGCTCTCACCATTGTTAAAGAGAGGATTCTGAGCATAGCAGAGCTTCCTCTTTTCCCTATGGCTCTTGGCACCTGTGACCCAAATGTCAGTCTTCTGTCTGACCTTCTGCATCATTTGGAGGCACATGTCTGCACATCCTCATTCTCCTCATGTGGGTCTCCACTCCTGCTCTGGTGGCTGAGCAGTTCAGGTCCATTCCTGGGTTGAGTCAACATCTTAACTGGTCTTAACTGCAGCTTATGTTAGCAAGGGTTAAGCATAATGTAAGCATCAATAGAATACAATTTACCTTTGTGTATTGAATCAGGGCTTTATATTTGATTGGCTGATGTACCTTTAATGGTAATAGTCTAATTCTTGCAATTTGTTGACATATCTGGATTAGATGATGTACAGTACTGTAGTTTTATCCCCTTACAGTTATGATTTCATGTACTGTAAATTGAACGGTGAAAACGATCAAAATAATATTAGAAATGCACACTTCACAGCAGAGTTAATACTAACGTCAAGTAGTCACCACCACTGTGTACTGGGCTACTCTCTTCAATGGGCTCTAAGATGTTTGAATTGATGATCTCAGGAACATGTGATGTTTGTCGACCACACACACAAGTCATGAGGCCTGAACTGAGTAGCAGGACTGCGTGATCTGTGGACCATCACCCTCTGCCATAGTTGAAAAGGCCTGGCTACAATGGAACCATGTGCCACTTGATACAAGGGCGGCGACCAGGTTGCACCGGTCCTCCCAGCTGTAGAAAAGGAGCCGCGTGCGTTCCGTCCTGTCACCGTGATAGAAGCTGAGATGATCATCACTCCCCGGTGGAGGCCTCGAACCCCAAGTGTGAGTGTGGCTGTGTGTGCCTGTGACTGATCTGGCGCTGTTGCCCTGTGCTCTCAGGTGGCTCGTCTCGGAGGGAGGGGAGAGGCCCGGCTGCCGAGATGGTGCTGGACCCTGGCGGGGGCTCCGTGGAGCGGGCAGCCGGCCGGGGCACCCTGGCCACCGAGCGGACGGGCACGGCCAAGAGGGAGCCGCCACGCAACGGGATGAGGCCCCACCCTTGTCCTGTCTCGGGGACCTTTGTCAAGCCCAAGGGGGCCGGGGGCGCCCGGGGCGCTGAGGGAGAG